TGGTGCTGTTGCTATGGTTACAGTTTTCTTGTGATGTTGGAGAATATAACCTTAGCTAAACACACTGAGTGAAACTTTCCTTTCAAAATAGTGAGATTTAATTTTATTCTCAACACAACGTTATATTCTCCATCATTTTCTTTTACCCTCTCTTTCAGTTACAGTGTTAATGTTGTGCACATCATTATTTGATTTCACCAAACTTGTGATCTTTCTACCCTTCTGTAGCACCCTTACAAGCTCGTTACAGCCAAGCTATTGAAACTCCTAAACCAGAAATGGCAATACAGCCGAACAGACCCAGGTCTCCACCTCCATACAGACCACCTCCAAGAAACCCACAGGTATTTTGCTAAATGTTCATTGTTGTTTCATTCCTAGAACTCAAATTTATATGTTGAATGCAGTCACAATTTGAAGTGATGTCATGTGAATAATATTCTCAGCTCATATTGGTCTACCATCTTGTTTCATGCAGATTTCAGCAGTGATGTGTTATATACAATGGAATTGTTTTCAAATAAACAAGATGTAATATTTATTTATTTTTTTGAAGGATCTGGTTGCCCTGGCAGCGCAATTGAGTGCAATGGGAGGAGGTGGCCCTATAGCGGATGATGATGAAGATGATGATGAAGATGATGATGGTGGTGAGGATGGTAGCCAAGGTGATGGTACAATATTAGCATCTGAAATCCCAAAACCACTGTAAGTATCTCTGGGAAACAGTATTGTTGTGTTATTTCAGGTTCTGGATTTGCAAGATTAATTTTTTGAAAAACTTTTATACTTTTCCCTGTGATCCCCTTTGATAAGACATAAATGATTATATGTGTTTTGTCTGCTTTACTTGAAACTTATTATTCTCCTCACATATTGTGTTTTTATTGATAGACTCCTTCCGCAGCAACCATATGATGATGACACTATGCACACATTTGTAGTTCATGATGGTGAGTGTTCGTTTATTTGTTTAGTCAGTACTTAAAAGATTGTTGATCCATGTAACCCACTCATACTATCATTTCCTGTCAGCTGTAATCACAAATGACAGCACAACTCAAGCATACACATGTATTAGGAAGAATACATCAGTTGTCCCATATGAACCGCCACTCATTGCGACAAGAACTGGATTTTTTGCATGTACTGAGAATAGGAATTGAAATATTCTCATCATCCGTAATATTCTATATTGATTTTCTCGCAAGAGAAGTAATTAATAGTATGAAATAGAAAATGACGGTGTGAGACGGCTCTTTTCAAATACAGACATAACAGTTATTCATTTGGGGACATTGCTATCTGCTAAGAAGGTTCTCTACTATTTGTCTTTCAGAGCATGACATATTGAATACCAGCAGTGCCAGTACAGAGAGCTCAACAAGCTTTGCCAGACAAGAATCTGATGCAGCACCATTGAGGAGAAATACACCGCCGATAGCAGATGCACCTCCATTGCCACCAAGAACTACTTCTAATAGAACACCACCAATACCAAAACATGCAGTAAACAAGTCTACACCACCCTCGTCACAAAGTCATACCCCACCTAGACAAATTACGCCCCCACAGACAGAAACAAGGAATGAAGAGTCTCCAAGCAACAGAAGGGTAAGTGGAATTGGGGGTTTCACACTCTAGTATTCCAGGGTATCTTAAAGTATTTTATGTTTGGGGTTTCACATCCAAGTATTCCAGGGTATCTTAAAGTATTTTATGTTTGGGGTTTCACATCCTAGTATTCCAGGGTATCTTAAAGTATTTTATGTTTGGGGTTTCACATCCTAGTATTCCAGGGTATCTTAAAGTATTTTATGTTTGGGGTTTCATACTCTAGTATTTAGGGTATCTTAAAGTATTTTATGTTTGGGGTTTCACATCCTAGTATTCCAGGATAGCTTGAATTACAAGATACAAAATGTTACACTTATATTGTTTTTACAGGCCAGGCCATCTGCACTTGTCATCAATAATTCCAGAAATAGTGATGTGATGCCGGACCTGTTACCACAGCAACAGTCTCCAACAGACTACTATGGAGCAGGCTATGCACAGCCACCACAAGAAAAAGCTGCCTCCTCTGAGGTACCGGTAACTATCTAGTTGGGTTTACATCTTTTTCGTAATAATGTTAAGTACCTTATTTTCACCTTGAATTTGTTTTTACTATTTTCGCTGAAGTCATCAGTGGAAATAAAATCTAGTTTAATTCCCATTTTCCTATATTTTACATTCAACTAATCCAAAATAAATGTAAATTAATACAAAACAATCCAAATTGCCTTTTCAGCAAAATTGAATTTCAGCTAAAATAACGTTTTTTTATAGTAAATGACTACAATATGATGTGCAAAAATTGAATGACAATGCTAATATGCTAATTCATTTGGATAACTACAACAAATGTGTCTATTCTCTAGAAATGGCTGGATATGAGGCAGCATTTAATTTTGTTTACTGTATTCTTTAGTGAGAGGAAATTCAGTGTGTGTTATTTGTTATTCAGTAGCCTAGTAATCAGTGTGTTTACCAGACTAAGGTGTCCAAATTGATTTCATAATTTATAATTATAAGTAAGTGTTAAAATCAATTGAAACACAATGTTTAGCATGTGCTATCAAGTGTAATCAGGTTTTTAATTGAATAAATTGCATACAAACGTTTCTTTATTCGGTACTACTGTACAAGCATTTAATTTCACTATTTTGATGTTTTGAGCATATTCACTGTCTTTTGATTTCACGAATTTGTCAAGAAAACAATTATTTAGTTTTAGTTTCATTAATATTTTAGGTTCATGTAGATTTGATTCAGTGGATTTATCAGTGAAAATAATTAAATTAAAACCCAGTGAATAATTAATGCATTTACAGTATCAAAGTAATCTAAAATATTCAGCTTTGGTGATTTAGGCAGAGTGAAATGTTTGAAAAATTACGCCCAAATTAGAGATTTTACAGTAATGTTGCTTATCATTCCAGGATGACACACTGAAATTATATTGGCGATCCGCTCCGCTAGGATTGCCCTTATAATCACTTTTGTCGTTTTGTGTGTGTGTCTGTGTGTGTACATTTCCAGTGTTTTCACGTATGATTTCTTCTGTGATTTTTTTGGCTTGGCCGATTTCGTTCAAACTTGGCAGGTAGGTCACACCTTCACCCTAGTTATTAGGAAAAATCTGGAAAAAAATTTTGGCCCACCGTTGCCATAGCAACAGCCAAAAAATTGATTTTTGGATAGCTTCGC